TTTAGCGTGCGATCTCGTGAAATTAATCGACGAACTATCGGAGGAATCTACACGTGTACTCCGGTACGGTATGTAACATTTTCGAGGCATGTCCACGTACTTTCTCCGTTATCACTTTCGTGCTCTCTCTCTCTCTCTCTCTCTCTCTCTCTCTCTCTCTCTCTCTTCTGCACGCTCGCAACCCTCGCGTGGCTACGGCCGATGAAATCTCTCCCCTGCGTCCTCCGTCTACGGTGAGCCAACTCTCTTCCTCCCGTCCATCACCAACGCACTGCCACCGCTCTGCTGCTCGCCGTTCCTGGAGCCGCGAGATGTTATCCTCGAGCGATTCGTCGTGTGTGTATGTGTGTGTGCGCTATATATCCGTCTGTCCGCCGTGCCGTGCCGTCGCCACATCCCCTACCTGCGTCGCGTTCCCCTACGTCAACGTCGACGTGCGCGTCGGTCGCAATCAAGGCTAGGAGCGTATCAGTTGTTCGCGCGCACCTCGCTCTATGTTTATTTCGATCGAGTGATCGGTGCGAAGAGTTGGTCGGACTTTTAAGCCAACGACACTAAAAAAAGAGAAAAAAAGCTATAAACAGATCGATGAATCGAGGTGATCCTTGTGATTTCATAGTTTACCGCTTATATCTTATTGCTTTGCGATGAAAAATACAACGTACCCTATATCGTTTGTGCACTTGTAACGTTTAATTATTTTCAGAATACTTAATGCATGCACTTTCTCTCAATGACACATTTATTTATTCGTTTTAATGCCTTTTCTACGTGAAACTAAAGAGTAACTAAATAAAATAAAATTAAATATATATGTACCTATATATACTAAGGCATACATAATTTAATAAAATTGAAAGGTAGATTCACATTTATGAGTTTTACATACAAATTATGTACAGAGTACATGAAAACAGTCCGTGCCGAAGAAATCAAATTACAAATGCAAAATATCTTCAAGTACTCCTTGCTTAAAAGAAGCATAGTCATAGTATATTAATACGCTAAAGAGAGAATTTTCATAAATCCAACGTCTGCGTCTCTTACTTGAAATTTGATTAAAGTAGATGTTATAATTATCTTTGCTTTACAAAAATTGAAATCACTCTGATAGTAAAGCTTAATAAGAAGGGAAATGTATTGCCTCTGGAAGTAAAGTATACTAATTTCAACATTTATATTGCTATTTTACAGAATTGCAAAAGCGATTTATAGATTGTAGAGAAAGCAGATTTTTACGCATGTTTGTAATGGTAGTTTATTCGTTAAATATATCGACGGGTCCTTATCGCAACGCGCTTGTTAACCGGAAACCACGGTATCTTTGCCTTTGGCTGACACGCGGACGTTGTTGCTTCGTTCTTTATCTGACAAGTGAAAGGATGCGCACGTTGTATGGAGATGCGTGTACGGTATGGCCGCTTCCTTCGAAGCATGCTGCTCGAAAAAGAGAGGGAAAAAAAGAGGGTCGGCCGCGTAAGAAGAAAATGGTGCCTCGGGTCTGAGAAGGGAGAGAATTTTAGTATTGGCTGACCTGTGACTTATCACAATGCGGGAACGGAATCAAAGTTGCTTTCTTTAATGCTTTTGCCGAGGTTTTATCGGTTTTAAAACGAGTTGTTCGGTGTTTAAAGAGGAGGAAGATTTCTCTAAGATGCGTATACTTGTAAATTTTTTTTTAAAAGAATATCAACATAGGAAATTTGGAATTTTGTTCCAATATAAAATTAGGTCCAATAATAAATTAAGAGACGAAATTTTCAATTAAAGTGTACATGCAACTATATGTATAAATGATGAAATTTAAAAAATCAGTAAATAAGAGAGAGAGGGAGAGAGAGAGAGAGAGAGGGAGG